GAGAAACTTTTTTCTTTTATGTTGCCTACTCAGTTTATAAGAAGTATTGGTTGAGTGCATAAGTTCGTGCCCGATTTCAAGTGCAAACTAAAATTGAAATTTTTTGAAGAAAGCGCTTTTATTAATCAATTATGTATTCGCCATCATGTTCGGCAATCCACTACCAACGTTCAACCAATTTGCAGATGCCTAATTCATAGAAATCGCGCGGTTTCTCGTTGAAAAAGGTGTCAAGGTGGTTTTTGACGTCTTCCACATTTTTAAATTTTTTTCCATTCAAATTGTTCTGCAGCGATCGAAACAAATGATAATCAGAAGGTGCAATGTCGGGTGAATATGGGGGATGCGGCATGATTTCCCAATTCATCTCCTTCAGTTTGGCCAGGGTCGGTTTTGCAACATGTGGCCTGGCGTTGTCATGATGGAAAAGAACTCTCTTGCGATTGGCTAAAATTGGACGTTTTTCATCAATTGCTTTCTTCAATTCGACCAATTGCAGTGATCGTTTCTCCAGCTTGCAAGAGCTCAAAATAGATCACGCCTTGGATATCCCACCGAATGCACAGCAGTATCTTCATCGGATGCAATCCACCTTTCGACATCGGTTCCGCCCCTTCGTGTGCCTGTTTCCATGTTCTTTTGCGTTGAACATCGTTGTACAGGATTCATTTTTCATCACCAGTCACGAGCCGATCCAAAAAAGGTTCGTTTTTGATCCGTCGAAGCAAAGAAATTGCTGTTGACATACGGTCCACTTTCTTTTTTCACTCAACTCATGTGGCACCTATGTATCGAGCTTCAAAGTGTACCCAACCTTTTTTAAACGACGAAACGCAGTTGATTTGTTGACGTTCAATTCACTGGCAAACTGGCAACCTCTTCCGTCGAAGTACGTGAGTTATTCGCAACTAAAGTCCTTAGAACATCGTCATCAAGCTCAGAATGCCGTCCACTGCGAGGTTGATCTTCGAGGTTAAAATCTCCAGAACGAAGTTTCGCGGACCATTTCTATACTGTACGGAGTGCTGGAGCACGGTCCAAATAAACTTCGCGAATATCTTTAGTTGCAGCGCCTACTGTTTTTCCTTTGCGGAATTCGTATAACATAAAATGACGCATATGATCTTTTTCGTTGTCCATTTTCCATGCGTCTTTTCACTAAGCAACTCAAATCAAAATGAAGTTATTTAATTCTTGATTTACAGTTCGGACTGTCATATGTATATATTTCTTTCACGAGCGCCACTCTCAAACGATTCGAACGGCATCCAGCGGAATCGGGCACGAACTTATGCACTCATTCAATAATTCCGCATTGGACTTTCGAATATTGCAGGCGAATTCATCTCTCCTTCTTCTTTTCATTCATTGGAGTAGACACTGATTATGCGATTATAGTCGTTTATTCTCTTCGCTGTTTGGCACCAGTCATCCCTTCTCTCATCCACTGCCTCCAACAACGGTTACTACTCATTCGACGGACATGTACTAGCTGGTGTAACCGTTGTTTCTTTATTTGCTGAAATATATATGCCAATGTCACCGTTGGGACCATATCATTCTTAAAACTTTTTTCTCAAAGACGAGAAAAGCCACCTTGTGAAATGTTGACATCATCCAGGCTTCTGACTCATGGTGCATGATAGGAAGGATGAGTTGCTTGTAGTGCTCAGTTTTGGCTCGTCGAGGGACGAAATTATCTACACCTTCAAAATTATGGCTGTCAACAGAGACATGGGAGCCAAGACCCGAATGTGCTGATTATTTGTTTGATGATATTTTGTCTTATACTCGTTCATTGTCCAGCCTAGAAAACAGGTTAGATTGTTGTCGATGTATATATCATTGATTTAGGCCAGGTCTGCAGCTCGTATTACTTCCTCTAGCATAAATTTAAAGAAGTCACGCGGTACAGCATCACCTCTTCCGAAACCTTGTTTTCTACCGAACGGCCTGGAGATGTGTTTCCTAACTCTGATGGAGCTTTTGGCGTTGTTCAGTGCCAGTTTACATAGTATTAGTTTTGCGCCAGCCGCGTGGTTAGGAAGTCCAGGGTTCGAGCCCTTATGTCGGATATTTTTCAAGATTTAGAAGGTCTAAGTCTTAAGTTAAGATCCGTTGAATTCGTTGGCATTGGGCTTTAATCTTTGAAATAATAGGCTAACTAAGACCTAATTTTCGATATTGAAGAGGCTTATCCCATAATTATTGGCAGAGATTGTAGAACCATAGGTTTGTGGACTCTGCAGAGCTCAGTTAGGTTTCTTACGTCCAAATTTTGCAAAGAAGCTGAAGCATGCACTTTGCCTTTCGTGCTTTCGTGGTTAACTATCGGCTCGGCCTCGCCATCTCACTGTAATTGAGCATCTTGGAGCAGTGTTTGGTATCGACATGAGTATGCTTGGGTCTTGAAATATTCTGAAAATTTTCGCTTGTTCTCATATTATTTCAAACATGACTATGATAAATTGCATTATCTTGAACAATTTGTAAATTATCTATTTTAATCACAGCCATTCCACGCAATTCACCACTTTTTTAGTATCATCTCTAATGATATGTACCTAAGCTCTAATGGCTTATCTCTGTAGTAAAGATTTATTTCTTCATCAAGCAATATTCCAAATAAATAATTTCATCATCATATTAAACGCCTAAAAAATGTAAACTCACCTTTTAAGGTGAGTATAAAATGCACTTTTAATATATACTCGTACATACATATGTGCATAAATAAGTAAATAGAAAATATTTATTTAAAAAAAAGAAAACTTTTACTAAGGAAGTGATGAAATATATAAAAATTAATATACATGCAAAAGTACGTGTGTATGTATGTAAATTTATTATCATGGAAAAGTTTTATATTTTGGGGTATATATCCATAAACAATTTTAATCCCTTGCGGCTGCCGTGAAAAAAACACGTCAAAGTTTTATAAAAAAAAAAATGATGATAAGGTGTCACTGATGAAATTTCTTATCATAAAGGGTGAATCAATTTTAAAATACAACCAAATAGAATATTGTAAAAAGTAAGGAAATTTAATTAAATAAAAACAATAAAATTAGAAAAAATTCAGAAACTATAAACTATAGAAAAATAAAATAAAAAAATTTAATTAAATAAAAAATTAAATACACAAAAAATATAATAAAATGAGTAAAATAAATTGAAATAAAATATTTATTACAATGAAAAATTAAATAGAATAATTAAAATGAATAATTCGAATGAAAAAATTAAACTAAGCAAATAAAATAAAAAAAGCATAAAATGAAATTATATTAACCAATTTTAAATTAAATGAAACAGCGTAAAATAAAATATAATATTTTTATAAAATTAAATGTAAAATAAAATTCAATTTAATTAAATTAAACAACAAAATAAATAAAATAAAATATAAAAAATAATTAAAAAAAATTAATAATATAAAATAATATTAGTAGATATAAAATTAAAATAAGATAAATTTAAATTAAATAAAACGAAGTAAAACAAATTAAATAAAATTAAAATAATAATAAAATCAAATGATGTAAACTAAAATAAAGTAAACTGTAATAAAATAAAATAAAATAATATTAATAATATAAAATAAAAATTAAATATTGTAATAGAAAATGAAGTGAAAAATTTAAATTCAAATAAAAAAATTAAGCGAAACAAATTTTATTTTATTAAATAATAAAATAGAATTAAATTAACTAAGTTTAAATGAAATGAGGTAGTGTAAAATAAAATATAATATTTTAATAAAAATAAATGTAAAAAAAATTAAATTAGATTTAATTGAATTAAACCACAAAATAAATAAAATAAAATAAAAAAAAATGAAAAAATTTAATAAAATAAAATAATATCTTTAGATATAAAATTAAAATAATATAAATTCAAATTAAATAAAACAAATTAAATAAAATTGAAAAATAAACTAAAATAAAATTAAATTAAATAAAATTAAAAAAAAAATGAAATAAAACAAACAGTAATAAAATTAAACAAATGAAATAATAATATAAAATTAAAACTAAATATTATAATAAGAAATGAAGTGAAAAAATTTAAACTCAAATGAAAACATTAAACGAAACAAGATAAAACAATATAAAATACCATAAAATTAAATTAAACCAAATGAAGTAAAATACTTAAAATAAAATGTAATTTTTTTAATAAAAATTAAATTAAAATAAGATAAAATTAAAGTTAACTCGATGGAATTGAATATCAAAATAAATAAAATAAAACATAAAATGAAAAAATTTAATAAAAAAAATTTAAAATAATATAAATGTAATTTAAATAAAACAATTTAATTATTTATTATATTTATTTATTAAATTTAAAATTAAAAAAAAATATTAAAAATTAATAAAATTCAATTGATGAACGAGAAGCTATTTGCATACATGTGTGTCACCCTTTTTTATGATTTTTTGTTTGTTAATGAAAACTTATGGCAAAGCGTTTATTATTTACTGTTTCTATGTAAAATTTGTCTGGTAAAAAGACCAAGCAGTTGTACTCATCATATTTACATATTAACTCGAGTGCTATGACGCAAAAATATCAGAAAACATTTAGAGAATTTTCGCTGACACACCTGTTAGAGAAATGAAACGAGAAAGCAAAGAAAAAAAACAAAATTACATATACATACAAACATAATGCACTTTAAAAACATCAATAATACTTATGTACATAATTTACAATTTAATGTCAATAGAAATTCAAATATTTGGTTAGTTAGCATTCTAAAAATTGTTTGATATACGAGTATTTGGGATGAAAGTTTTCAAAATTATTATTATTATATATCAGAGCCATATTTTCCCTATTTCCATAAAGACTATTGCACCGTTATTAATAAGAATTTATGAGTGTATCCTTATTCAAAGGGAAAATGAGATTTGAAAACACTTCTCGATTTATAGAAAAATATTTACATATAATAAGTAGCTTTTTTCAGTTATCATTCTTTGTTTTAAATATTTTCCAACATCATTTTCGTTGATGTGCCAGAGAAAATTTGTAAATATTCTTTATATTTACTCCATTGCTGTTCAAGATTTTTAAAACTATGTAAATACATATGGTTTACGTATATGCAAATACATATTAAAATATATATGTATCTGAAAGATTGTGTCTCCTTAAAAACATCTGTGAAAAGCGTGGCGTTAAGTTTATCAAAGACATGACACCAGTGATGATTGGCGTGCATACGTAACAGAAGTAGGTGGGAATATAACACATACACGTATACACACATATATACATATGTATTGTACATACACTCCAAGCTAGTATTTGCACAATGATAAATCGGATGTTAATCTTGACAATTAAACATTTCTCTACAAACTAAATATAATTTATCTAATTGTTGCAGAAAACGAGTAAAACAACAACAACAAATACGCAATAAAGGAGTACAAAAGATGCTACTAACTATAAGATCACCTCAGACATTGCCAAACCATTGGCAAATGACAAGTGTGGATATCACCAACTGTCGCTAGTACAAAGTGAAGAGTGTAAAAAATATAAAATAATTACTGTTATACGTAGTACCTTTATTTAGAAAGTAAAAAAAGAGATATAAACAAAAATACAATTTTTTTCTGTAGTTTTTTTTTTGCAAAAAATTTAAAATAAAATACAAAAGATGACTGCAGAAGTGACAACAGAAGCAACGACAGATAAAGCGTCTCCTGGTGAATACTTAATATTTATTAATAGCGTCATACATATGTATATACATACATATTGAAATATATGTAAATAAGTAAACTTTTAAAATTCTCTGCTGTTTTGATAATTTTCGTCTTCAGCCGAAAGCAATGCAGATAATACGTCGAAACCAAGTCCAACACTTACAAATAACGTTCAAGGCTCAGATAAGCAGTCAGAAACGCCAAAAAAAGATGCACCTACGGATTTTGAAACTGCTATGGAAGTAGCAGGTTTTGGTTTATTTAATTATTTATTAATCATTGCTGCACTGCCCGCTGCCATAGCAACAGTCGTTGAGACCTCAACGATGTCATACATCTTACCGAGTGCCGAATGTGATCTCAAATTGACGCTGCTCGATAAAGGACTTCTAAATGCGATCACATATGCCGGTAAGTAAAAGTGCAATGCAAAAGAGTGCTTTGAAATGAACTTAAAAAAAAAAACGTTAATTATCGAACATTATCGTAGAAATAATTTCATATATTTTTATATGTAAATATTTATTAACTTTTTACAGCAAGTGAATTTTTTATGAAGTGTAAGCGGAACTTGATTAAAAGCTTTCAAATTTTTGTGCAAATTAAAAGTTTAACTTTGTTCAACTCTTAATTTTGGCAAATTCATTAATTTTTCGGTAATAATTTTGATTGATATACGATTTTTAACAAGAAAACAGTCACGTAATGATGATAAACTAATTGCGTAACACCGTTGAGACATTGCTAGGCTTCATACTGGGATTCGAAAGCTTACATTAGCATTTCAATTAATTTTTCTCACTTAATCTACCCAAAGAGAGGAGATCTCTTTGACTTCACGAGTCTCACGAAATTACAGCTTGATAGAAAAAAGACCGGCGACAGTGGAAGCTCCTTTCAGGAGATGTAGTAGAAGTTGTAAGAACGATGAAGAGCAAAAGAGAGCGGTCTGTCCTCTCTTATGTGAATACTCTGCTTTGACCAGAGTTGGATTCCGATAACTGGGAAAAGCTTTCTTCAATAGTTCATATAAAATCGCAGACATCGATTGGATAGCGGTTCTTATTGTTCAGTTAAATACGAGCTATCAAAGTGGGCTTGTATTAACCTAATGCTTCTACGTCGATAACCACTCCAACCTAACCTGACATAACTATGTTTCATAAAAAAAAATCTGTATTAAATGAACTAAGCCGAAAGGAAGGCTCGTCAGTTCTTATCGATCGGATTTTTCTGATAAATCGAAATCGATAAAAATTGGAGAATAATTCTGGAAGTTTTTTCCAATCAGTCAGTGCTCTCATTTTACAATTTTTTATTCTCAATAAATGATTTCAATGTTTTGTTTATTTTTTATATTTTTGCGCTGTCTATTTTCTTCGAAAAAATAACTTTAGTTTTTATGCGCACTTTTGAGGCTTTAATTAACTTTTTTTCCATTTTAAATTCTGGAGTCTTAGCACCTCTCATATATAAAATTTAACATATTTTTTCATAATTTTTCCACAGGCATGATAAGCTCTGCGATATTATGGGGTTATATGGCCGATACGAAAGGTCGGAAGAAGTTACTCATCTTCGGTTATCTGAGTAATATAATATCGGTATTGGGTGGTGCCTGCAGTCAAAATGTCATACAGCTTATGGTCTTCAAATACATCTCTGGTTTTATGTAATAAAAAAATGATTTTAAGATTACATTTTTTTGTGTTTATTTATATATATTTTTTTTTAATCTCCAGCATGTGCGGTCCTTTCGCTGTCCTTATGAGTTACTTAACCGAATTGCATGGCAAAAGATTCCGTTCACGTATTGTAATGTTGATGGGAATTATGTTCTCAGTGGGAAATATATCTTTGCCGTTAGTTGCGTTGAGCGTTTTGCCGAGAAATTGGGATTTCCAAATTTTGGGCTTACAATGTAAGTGTACTTTTCTGAAAACTGTCTTGATTTTTTAATTTTATCTACTTATTTCTTTTCAAACAGTTCATTCATGGCAAGTATTCTTAGCCATCAGCGCAATACCCAGTCTGCTGGGTGGCACTTTATTGAGCTTCTTCCCGGAAAGTCCAAAATTTTTAATGTCTCAAGGTCGAAATGCTGAAGCGCTACGCGTTTTCCAAAAAATCTACGCACTCAACAGTCGCAAACCACGCACAGATTTTCCAGTAAGACAATTTGTTTCTTTTTCATTAAATTTATTTAATGAAATACACTTTTTTTTGTCAACTATTTTACAGATCAAAGAACTGATCAACGAAACACAGAACGCCGAAAAAGAGAGTAACGCTTCCACTGCGAGCATTGCGACAATTGAAAGTGTTGTGCCGAAGGAGAAAGAAAACGAGCCAGCCTCCAAAGTAAGCCTAAAAGAAAAGAAACCTAAGGTGAGTCTGCGTCAAGGATGGGAACAACTGCGTCCGCTACTCTCCAAACCCTACCTTGGACTGTCCATACGCGTGTATCTTATGAATTTCGCTATTTTATTTGGGTAAGCGAAAATATTTTTTTTACATAAATTATAAAGCTCATATTTTTATCACCAATCACAAATTGTATTTTACTTTTCAGTCAGAACACACTCCGCTTATGGGTTCCCCAAATGTTCGCTTCTATTGAGGAATACGAACAGATGTATGGTACTGCGGGCGCTACAATGTGCACCATCTTGGAGTACAGCGTAAACAAGACTCAATTAATAAATAATGAGTTGACGAATTTGAGAATGGAGAAATGCGAAGTGGTGGGTTTAATGACTTTACTAACAAATATATTTATTCGTCGATTGTTCCATTCCATTCTTGATTGGTGTTGGCTTTAGTTCCAACATAAATGACTCTCTTCTATTAAGTAAGGATAGAGACTAAAACAAATCAATATCAACTAGTAGACTTCTATAGATTAGCCCTTCTTTAATTTATCCATTTACCGGAAAGGCTTTGCGGTTACAACAAGAACATCAAAAGTATCGTCTTAAGTTGATATTATTTATTGGTTTCAACAATAGATAATATCAAGCTACCGACACTTAAAAACATAAAACACCATCTCCAGAAAAACGAAAAACCTAAATTCTCAGTTGAGGTACAAATATAGTTACATACATATATGCCATGAAACATCAGAGAGACTATTTAAAATTATCTACACTCCAGTCTATGCCGAATTAATAGATAGCTTCAAAACCCCTCCTGATATCGAAGTTTAATCTAATCTACTTTGGAGTTTCACAATATCATTTCGTTATTTATTTCAAATCAACTTTAACATTTAATTCTCTTTTAAATATATTATTTAATACTATTTTTATATTTAAAATAAATTTTCCTCTTAATCTTTTTACAGGTTGTCACACCTGCTTCCTACACCAATAATATAACTGTCGCTGTTTGTAGTTTAGTAGGTTACTGTTTCGCTGGTTTCGTTGTTAATCGAATTGGTAGTAAAATGTTGCTCAGTAAGTAATTAAATCATTTTTTAATTGATTGGGAATAGGGAATGATTATTTGTTACTTTTATTTTTCTTCCAGCAATCGGTTCTACAGTTGCAGGTTTGTGTGCAATCGGCCTATATTTCTCGATATCCTCTCTGAGCACATCGATTATTGTTTCGATTTCTGTGACAATGGGCAGTATATCGGCAATGTCTATACTCAGCTCATCGGTTGATCTATTTCCAACATCGTTGAGGTGCGTTCACTTAAATAATATTGAATATTGCCATAAAATAATACTCATTCATATGCAATGTTATAATATTTGTTAACTTAATTTATTGATAATTAATAATTTTTTTTTTATTTAATTTTCCTAGAACAATGATTGTGTCTTTGGCTATGATGTTCGGTCGTGTGGGCTCAATAATGGGCAATATATTGTTTCCCATTTTCATGTCCTTAGGTTGTGTGCCGCCATTTATTATGCTTACATTCGTTATGTGGTGTAAGTTATTTGTTAAAAAGAAATATTACTAAGCTTTTTATTACAAACTTGTATTTATATTTTTCAGCTGCCGGAATAATGTCTGCATTTTTACCGAATACAAGAAAAATGGTTTTAAAATAGGAAACATTTTTATAGTATAATGAAATTATTTATTTTAGTTTTAAGTGAAGTAATATAAGTACGAATGTACAATTAAATGACATTTTGTCTGTTCGTGCATATTTAATAAATAAAGCAAATCATATGGGAAAGTGGTTGGGGTGTTGAGCTTTTGACTACTAAAAATAAGGTTAAGAGAAGAAGAGAAAAAGAAATATTTCTATTTTTATTTGACACCATTTATAAGAAGAATAAAATATTGTAAAGTTATCTCTACTTAAAACATATTTGCTTATCATCAACTCTGAATGGCACATGTTTACCTTAGCTTTACATAAATATAAAGATAAACAGAAAATATTACAAATTATCTTCTATTTGTTTAATTAGACCGACTACATTATTGCAATAAACACATGGTAAAGCTATTTGGTTATAGTAATTTTGAGGGAATATCTCCGATGTTACATTTAAATTGCAATAATGCACTTTTCTTCTCTTCTGTCCGCTCGTGTGCCTTCGTTGCAACGCGACCAAGCTTATTCAAATTGTCAACAGTAGGCAGAGACAAATATAATAAATAACATAAAATATAATAAAAAAAATTATTTGAAAGGAAATAAATTTATTTAAAACCAAATAAAATGAAATCAAGAAAATATATCTTCATTAAATATATAAATAAAATGTAGTGAAATAGAAGAAGTCATAAAATAAAATAAATTACATTCAACGAAAATAATATGAAACGAAAAAAGAATAAAAATAAAAAAATTAAATTTAATATTTCAAAATAAAATAATATAAAATAAAGTAAATTAAAAGGAAAAAAATTTAATTAAATTAAGCTAAATAAAAAAATTAATTGAGTTAAATTTGAAGTAAAATAAATAAAATTAAAATAAAGGAAAAATTAACATAAAATAAAACAAAAAAAAAACAAAGTGAAAAAAACGAAATAATATGAAACAAAAAAGGATAAATAGAATGAAATAAAATTTAATTAAATAAAATAAATAAATTAAGTGAAATAGAAGAAAAATTATAAAATAAAATAAATTACATGCAACGAAAATAAGATGAAACGAAAAAGGTTAAAAGTAAAAAAATTAAATTTAATATAGTAAAATAAAATAAGATGAAATAAAATAAAGTAAATTAAAACGAACAGAAATTAAATTAAGTTAAATAAAAAAATTAATTGAATTAAATTAAATAATTTTAAGTAAAATAAATAAAATTAATATAAAGGAAAAATTAACATAAAATAAAACAAAGTGAAAAACAACGAAATAATATGAAACAAAAACCGATAAATAGAATGAAATAAAATTTAATAAAATAAAATAAAAAAAAATAAGTGAAATAGAAGAAAAGTTGTAAAATAAAATAAATTACATACTACGAAATAAGATGAAACGAAAAAGGTTAAAAATAAAAAAATTAAATTTAATATAGTAAAATAAAATAAGATAAAATAAAATAGAGTAAATTAAAATAAAAAAATTAATCGGATTAAATTAAAAATTTTGAAGTGAAATAAATAAAATCAAAATAAAGGAAAAATTAACATAAAAAAAAATAAAGTGAAATAAATTTCGTTTTATGAAACAAACAAACAATAAAATTAAAAATAAATATTGCATGTATGGTGAAAATACCAAGACCTTTTAATTATCAGCCGTCCATAACTGGCGACGTCGAGGAGAGATACACGAGTTTCCGACGCTGCTGAGAGCGGTTAAATGTTGCCAGCTGCCGGTGTGTTTGCACACTTATGAAAAATTCATAATTTTCGTCAACGAATTTCATAATTTATTTGCTTGAACGTAAACACAAGAAAAATAAACATGATCTATATGATAACAAATAATTAGTTACGCATTTAGTTTTCATTTCTTTTGAAAAAAATTACGGATTATCTTCGATTATTTAATGTTACTTTAAGAAAGGATATACTGGCAAATTTGTATGGCAACGAGAAATGACCCCAGCCGGTTTTACGGAAAAAATCAAATTGCCGTTGGTTTATGCGGGACAACCGTCACTAACGGCATGGGCAAGCGGTGACAACTTTGTGTTGTTATGGCGCTCTCATAAGATAGGTTGCTATAAACGGCTGGTACGTTGGTTTGGGTAGTTGCAGCATAAGCGTTAGAGCTAATTAAAAATAAAGAAATTACCTTTTATATTCAAATTTGCTTCGTTCAACAAAATTATAAAACATTGGGGAATGGTATAAACATAGTTTTCGTTTACAATACAATGGATTAATATTAGCAAAATAACTTTATTTATATGTGAACAAAAACGTACTTAAAATAAAAATTTCTAACAACACTTCAACTTCCGTCTCCGCTGAAGCAACATATTCTACTACAGTAGCGTTAGGAAATTTTTCCGTCTCCGCTTTGCTCTATTTTCCGTTTCCGTCTGTTTGGTAACCCTTTTATAAAGTGTTCTTTACTAGAAATGGCAGCACTCCCACCATCAACAATCTAACAGCTGTTAAATTAACAACAACAACCACAAATTGCAGTTTGTCAAAAGCAGCGAAAGTGACACGCAAACAGATTTCAAGCATAGCTGTGCAACAAATAAAATATTTAGATAGATAAATTAATCTATAATCAAGTAATTATGTCCGCCATTGACCAATTGCAGGCGAAAATCGCCGAGCTCAAGTCTGAATTGGAGCAACATAAAAATGCTTCACGCGCAGCACGTGAACGTATAGAAAAGATGTCTGCGGAAGTTGTTGACTCAAATCCTTATAGTCGCCTTATGGCACTCCAGCGAATGGGTATTGTTAAGGAATATGAACGCATACGTGATAAAACCGTAGCGGTAGTGGGTGTTGGCGGAGTAGGCAGCGTAACAGCTGATATGTTAACAAGGTTAGTGCATAATTTGTATGTCAATACTTATATACAAATGTAAATATTTCTATGCTTTTAATGTTTAAATTAGATGCGGCATTGGTAAACTAATCCTTTTTGATTATGACAAAGTGGAATTAGCAAATATGAACCGCCTGTTTTTTACACCTGATCAGGCTGGTTTGTCGAAAGTCGAAGCTGCAGCACGCACGTTGAGTTTTATTAATCCCGATGTACGCATCGAAACGCACAATTATAATATAACAACTGTGGAATCATTCGATAAATTTTTAAACACAATTTCTACTGGAGGTATCATAATTGATACGCCAGTTGATCTTGTCCTCAGTTGTGTTGATAATTTTGAAGCACGTATGGCTATAAATTCTGCGTGTAATGAACTCGGCTTGAATTGGTTTGAGTCGGGTGTTTCTGAGAATGCCGTCTCAGGTCATATACAATTTATACGTCCCGGTGAAACTGCATGTTTTGGTTGTGCACCTCCATTAGTGGTAGCCGAAAATATTGACGAGAAAACATTAAAACGTGAAGGAGTCTGCGCCGCTTCTTTACCTACCACTATGGGCATAACAGCTGGTATGTTGGTGCAGAATACACTAAAGTATTTACTTAACTTCGGTGAAGTTTCGGACTATTTGGGTTATAATGCAATGAATGATTTCTTCCCACGTATGAGCTTAAAACCGAATCCTCAATGCGATGATCGCCATTGCCAGGAGCGTCAGAAAGAATATCAAGCACGACCGAAAGCCGTAGTAGAAGAAAGGGGGGTAGAAGATGATTTACCCATTCACGAAACGAATGAATGGGGCATAGAGTTGGTGGATGATTCACCAACTGTTGCAGAGGAAGTGAAAATTTCTAGAAATAATGTTGCGACAGGTCTGCGTCTTGCATATGAAGCGCCTGATAATACCAATGCTGATGCACCAACAGTTGCTGCTGTAGCCAATGTGGATTTAGATGACTTATTTGCACAAATGAAGGCATTATAAAGTGATGGTGAAAATCGAAATTATTCCAATAGTTTAGGTTAAAAGAAATTATATTATTTTTTATAGTTATCCATATAAAATTGTTAAACCATTTAAGAAAGGAGTAAATAAAAAAATATATGTGTAATTTTTAAGGTTGTTTCGAGATTTCATTTTAATTTTTACAAGTACAATAACACATATCAATAACAGTTACAAATAAAAGTTTGGAATATCTTTCCAATTTGATTTAAAAATCAAAATTCCGACTACCAACAGAAATGCAACTCTGTACGGGGCGTAATAAACACAGCTTACGCATTAGACACATCTGGACAGGCTGTCAAGCGGCAAATTTTTTGTTGTCGTGTACTGAATTTTATGCTGTGCTATTCCATTTTTTACGTGTTAGATTCTGTGTGAATTAAAAGTTATTTAATTTTATAATGTCTAATAAGAAAGAAGAGAAACCACAACTTGAAATTGAAGTAAGTAAAGTAATTATTATATGCGATCTCATTTCTGCCGATGTCGAATACCGCTAAGGAGATCATTTTGTACACGTCAACTTCCCGACTAGGCATACAACATACAACGCTACACAAATTAATTTATCATTTTGCTTCATATATCTAATTAGATTTTCCTTACAGGTTGTAAAAATAAACAAATGGGATGGCTCGGCAGTCAAACATGCACTGGATGATGCAGTAAAAAATTGCTTATTGTGTGATCGCCCACAATTACATGAGCAATTCGGTTTGATCAATACTCGCTTAGTGTTGTGTGCACTGGCAGTCGGTGTTGCTATATTAGCGCATGGTTGGGACTATACCCATCCCTTCCCTGAATCTCGTCCAGTCTTACTCTTTAGCGTTATTGCTTACTTTGCTTTGATGGGTATTCTCACCCTACATACCACATTTCGCGAAAAGGGTACATTTGCTGTGGCAGTACAAAAGAATGGTAGTAATGGGCCACGTACTTGGGAAGCTAGCTCGGATATGAAAAAATACGATGACAAATACACTCTTACCTTCTCGGTGAAGGATGCTAAGGGTGTGCGGGAAGTGAGCAGCACTAAATCATGCGCTAGTTTTATTGATGCCAACGGTGTTGTATTGGACAATTTAGTGACAAACGAAGTCAATCGTCTATTCAATTCATTGTCCGCTGGGAAAAAGGATGAGTAGCTCGCAGCGTCGAAAATTTTGGAACACGAATATAGTATGTATTTAAATTATAGTACGCAGAATGTCAATAAACCTGATAAGGATGGTGGGGAAAAGGTGGAAAAAAATATGGGACGAGTTCTTCAAAATAATATGGATGCTGATGATTTAGACCTCCAGCCCTTATGTGTTTAAATTTGCTACACAATACCAATATCTTTTTATGTATCAGAAAATTTCCATGAATTGTAAGGCTTTTTGAAAATTAATAATTTCATCAATAAGAACCGGTTCAAATTAAGATATTCTTCGTTGATATTATTTTTTTAACAAACTCACCGTGTACATGTGTGTAAGTATGTCAACATTCAATTTCAGTAAAGGATATGAATTAAGTTAAGATTTGAGTATCTTACATTTCTGTTCTTTCTGCCGCTCCAAACACTGTTATTACTGACGAGGTATAGAACTAAACCGTAATCAGGGTTAACTTTATACGAATGTCTTTTGAAAAAACGTCTTTAAAAAAATATTTATATTTGGAAATTAAATGAAAACATAAATTCAAGAAAAATATTCGAAGAAAATTGCAAAATTGTTTGTATATAATAATTTAAATATAAAAAAAATTCAATATGCGTGAAATTATAACGATCCAAATAGGTGCGAGTGGAAATTCCATTGGAGATGCTGTATGCTGATAAAATTAATCGACATTACCATTTTTATCATAAATTATTCATATGTTTCCAGTTCTGGCATGTAATTTCTCATGAACATGGCGTAGACTATTCATCTGGACGCTTTCAAGGCACTAGTGCATTGCAATTAGAACGTATTAACGTATTCTTTAACGCCACTGCAAGCAAGCGTTTTTACGCTCGTGCTATATGCATAGATACCGAAGCAACCACAATAGAAAATCTCCATAAGCGCTCTTCACTGTATAGACCAGAAAATTTTGTCGCTGGCACTGATAGCGCCGGTAATAATTTCGCTCGTGGCTATCACACAGACGGTGCAGAAATTCTTGATGCCGTTTTGAATGCCATACGGCGTGAAGCAGAGTCGGTGGACTCGTTACAAGGTTTCCAAATTCTACACTCTATTGGCGGCGGTACTGGTTCCGGTTTGACAGCACTCGTCATGAATGCACTTATCGATGAATACCCGGACAATCTAATCTCAAACTATGTTTCGATACCATCTCCGCAAATGTCTCAAGTAGTTGTGGAGCCCTACAATGCTCTACTTAGCATGCCTTCACTAATACACAATTCACATTTAACATTTTGCCTCGACAATGAGGCGCTTTTCCAAATAGTTTCTCGCAATTTGAAAATGGCCGTAAGCGGTTATGAACATATTAACCATATTGTAGCCTTGACTATGTCTGGCATAACCACTTGTTTACGTTTCCCCGGTCAACTTAATGCCGGTTTGCGCAAACTATATGTGAACATGATACCGTTTCCACAGTTACACTTTCTTATACCGGGATTTGCGCCATTAATTAGTTGCAAGCAAAAAGAGTTCTCCCAAGGCACTGTAGGAGAATTGGTTCAACAAATTTTCTCATCCAATAATTTATTATGTGCTGTTGATTTGCGTCATGGTAAACTTTTAACAGCAGCTGGTATTTTTCGTGGTCGCATGTCTCCCCGCGAGGTTGATCAATTAATGACAAATGTACGAAATAAAAACTTAAGTAGCTTTGTCGAATGGATACCAAATAATATCAAGACAGCTATATGCGACATTCCACCACGAGGTTTAAAAATGTCTGCAACTTTCATTGGAAACACCTCAGCGATTCACAAGCTATTGCAACGTATTTTGGACGGCAGCAGTATTATGTTGCGGCGCAAAGCTCATTTGCATTGGTACACAGGTGAAGGCATGGAAGAACAAGAGTTTATAGATGCGCAGAAGGATCTTCAGGATACACTAGATTTGTACAAGAGAAGTGGAGAAGACGATTCTGAAAAAATGAATCCCGAAGGCACAACATGTCCAGGTTGTAATGAAGGCAACGATCAGAAGTAATAAATTGGATTGTTGAAAGAAATATACAATCTTGATACTTTTATTACTGGAAATACAAATATGCATACATCGCACATGTAGCCAGGAATCAAAAATATATACATTTATTTAGTCATATTACTTTTAGCACGAGTTTTTTTTACAAAATCAATACAAAACCTTCTTATCAACGGAACTGCTTCCTTTATGAAAGTCAGGAAGAGGTTGAAATTGAAAAAAAAAAAAAAAATTAAATGAAAATTCTTTGTCACTCTTATAAATATTTCAGACCAATCCATCAATACGCGTCGAGCCAAAACACAATCGTAATGCTTAGCTTCCCTTTTAAGGATTTTACCAAGCACTAGTCATAAAAGCTACAAACGCCTTTCGACTTCAAAAATTTAGATATTTATAATTGTGAACGCTTTCTTTTATTACCAATTTTTGTAGATGAAGTTGGTTTTTCATCATCATTGTCTTTAGTATCTTCATTATCGCCTGTCATGTCCTTAGCCATTGTGATACCCAAAACAAGACCAGCCGCCTTAGCCAACTCTTCAATGGGTGGAAACTTTTGTGCTCGCGGTTTCCTATTTATGCCTGACCAAATTTGTTGTCGTCCTTCATTAGGTTTTGCAGCTATGGTTATTTCAAAAGCACCACGCCGTGGGGGGCTTTCATCGTTCATGAGCAGTTGAAGTTCTAATTTCGAATCAATTCTCCGCAATTGCTCAAGGAGTTCGGCATGCACTTGAAGGGCACGACGGCGAAATACACTTCAGGAGCGACAATGTTCGATATATAAAACTGGAATATTGGCGTCTATAGCGGTGTCTTCAGACTTGGAAAGTTTTGATTTTGGAGTACCGCCACTCTCCTTCGGTTCCTAATGACATCAATGATATTAAATTAAATCAAAAATCTATTTATTTCAATATTACCTCATTTGGTTTCTGTGCTTTACGTTTGCGTTTCGGAGCCATCGTAGCTTAGTTCTTTATTTAAAATCTCAAATGAAATTTCGAAAATCCGATCAGGCGTCCAATTGCGCGGTAATTTGCTGAACTTTCTATTTATCTATCTCAATCTTCATAGACAATATCATCATGTTTTACACAGAGATGTTATACAAATGATTTTGTTAAATTATAATCTATGGCTGATTTTCCGGCAGTCCGTAAGCACGCCGCTACCGAAATGTGGATTCTCCATAAAAGACTTGGTTCTGTTATAGATTTTCCGTGATCCTCTTTCCTTTCCTAGCCTTGCACTCAGCTCCACACTCCGGTAACGAGGTCACAGAGAAGCGTAACCAGCCCCTCTTGGCCGTCCTCCGTGGCTTATGGACAAAACATATGGCTAAATGCCATAAAATTGCGAAATGCTTTCGTGAGAACATAGACTTAAGGCCAACTTAAATAAATTTATGGATGGCAGTGCCACACATTTTTCTCTTGTAATAGAAAAGCAACTCTGTGTAAAATTAATCAAAAGAAGTTTCGCGATAACAATTGCCGACATTTTGGTGTAGAAAAAAGTTAAAAATACTTTAAAATTATACATTATATATTACATTAGATCCAATAAGAAAAATCTACAAAGAAAGTACTTTAGTGAGACACTGTAAAATAATAAATAAAAAACTACGCTAAAATGGCTATGCCTAATTTGTCCCATTCCGACTTGGAAAAGTTGAAGTTTTTCATAAATTTTGTAGCGGAAAATCCAACAGTTCTTAATACGCCTCAGCTACAATTTGTAAAAGACTTTATAGAAAAATTCGGTGGTAAAGTACCCGCTGGAGAATTCAAGATGCCCGGTGGAGCAGCTGGAGGGTAAGCCAAATGAACATAAAGTGGATGGAAATTCGAATATATATTGCATGCATTTATTTTTGGTAATTTTTAGAAAGTGTCCTTTTGGTGGAGATGCTGGCGGTGCCAGCGACAGCCCTAGCGGTATGAATGTTGATGAATCGGAAGAATCTGATTTGGAAGAATCAGAACAGGAATCTGAAGTCGAATTAGACATGGAAGGTAAGTGCATTTGTATGTAGTTGTATTACGTGTAGAGGGCTGTGTTGTATGTTGTAGATTGCATTATCAAAAGTAGAATCTTAATTTATTAGCTTTTGAGGAATTCGGTACAGAGGCGTGTCAGGAAAATGGTAGGGTCGATTTTTTTTTAATGATCGTAGGAACAAATTTTTTCATACATACATTTAACATTACATATTATATAGTTATGCCTGACACGGCTCTTGTATACGCACTTTTGCTTTCAGCTAAGACTGAACCCAATCGGAAAAAGCACAAAAAGGAACCCGCTTGGGCCTCATCCTCACCAGCCGATGATAACTTCCACAACACCAGTGCAGTTTTTTTGGAAGAAACAAAAGTAATCCGAAAACAAAAAACTATAAAAACTGAGCGTGAACACTCTGATGAATCTGATTTTGAACCAAATGATTCAGAGGAATATGAGTGTCAGGTGGAAGCTGTGTACGGCACTGACAAAGATGATGATGATGATGATGAAGATCCTATCGAAACTAATGCTGCAGCTATTACTATGAAATTTGAAATGGATAGTGAAAATGATGATGAAGACGAAGATGTAGAGTATACTGCTTCTGATAGCAGCGAATCGTCGGACAAGGCGCCTTTGCGTAGAAAAACGCGTGGTTACACAAAAACATTACGCCCAAAAAGGGGAAGGCCTCGGCGAAAACGACGCAATTTTTACTCAGAAATGAAGTCAGAAAAAAAAATCAGGAGGCCAAAACCAGTAACTTGCAAAGAAAAATGCAAAAAACAATGCACAAAAATTGATGAGGATCAAAGAAGGAAATTATGTAAAGAATTTTGGGCTTTGGGATTCTTGGAGCGCAAAAATTATTTACTCGCTAATGTAGAGCGGAAGCCGCTTGGCAAAATGCGCAGATTGCATAGAAAGAAGGAATCGCGTCAGCACACTAATCATTACTTTATGAAGACAAGTGATGGCGAAAGAGTTAGGGTATGTCTAGACTTCTTTTTGAAAACCTATGCTATAAGTAATTATCTGGTGAAAGATGCGCAAGAGAACAGTGATGGTAAAGGTAACTACACAGGAACAGATTTGCGTGGTGGCAGTGGAGAAGGGCGGCGTTTAAAAACTGAATTAGCAAGACAACAACGTGAAAACTCTAACGAAGAAGTATCAGCACCGAACGATGAAATACCAAAAGACCCAGATGAAGAAACTAGTGAAAATAAAGCAGAAAGTGAAAACGGTGAAGTAAAACCTCTCACTAAAGAAGTGCAAACAGCTCAAAAAGAACTTGAAGAGGAAATAAATGCAGAACCTACCACTCCTGGCAATGATAAAGCAATTGCAAAAGATAGTAACGAACATGAGGAAAGCTTAGTAACACACCATACAGAAATTACTGAACCGCTACAACAACCCACAACTACACCTGTAAAACCCAAGGCACCCAAGCCTAAACAGCCAAGTCGTAAACGGGGAACCGTTAAGGAACGTATGCCACAGCCAGTTAATTGTGCAGAATCATGTAGATTTAAGTGCCACACAAAATTCACCGAAGAACAACGCGTCTTACTGTGTGCAGCTTTTTGGCGTTTGAGCTTCAAGCGACGTAAAGACTTCGTATTGTCGCGTGTTGAAGCACATGAAAACACTACGACCACTGCGGCAGAGCACCGCAAGACAAACCGAGTGCGTGTCTTTACAAATCGTTACTTTTTACGCGGCGAAAAAGGTGAAAATGTACGCGTCTGTTCGCGTTTCTTCAATGCTACCCTTTGCATCGGCAATCATTTCCTAGCCAACGCTCAAAGAAATGTCGATAAGCAAACGGGCGCTTACGCTGGTGAGGATCGACGCGGACGTAACCCGTGCAAAAATAAAATACCTGATGAAATAATTGCTGGTGCACGCGAACACATCAGCAGCTATCCAACATGGGTGCCACATAAGAACTATAAAACACGCTTCCTGCACAGTTCATTGAATATAGTTAAAATGTATTCGGAGTATAAAGAGGAATGTGAACGCCGTAATAGACCTGCAATCAGCGGCAGTTTCTTTCGAAAAGTTTTCCACAAAGATTTCAAACTCGCTTTCCTCCAACCGACATCTAAACATGCGCATAAAGTAAGCTCACAGCGGAAAAGCATCCCGTCGGCTACGACCACCACTTTCAACAGCGGCGTAAGCAATTCCACCAACGCTGAGGGCCATTCTGAGAATACTTTTGCAGCTTGCAGCACAAGTGCAACTACAACTTCGGCACCAAAGAAAAACAATCCCAATATTTCAACCTTTACTGGCGAAGAAGGTGGCTTTTGGACACAGCTCACTCCAAATGCCACGGAAACTATGCGTTTTTTACAGCAGCGTTATGCACCGCAAGTGACAGCGCCTGTTATTGTACAAACAATAATCCATCAGCAACAACAGCAGCAGCAACAGCAGCTGCAATTGGTACAGCAACAGACGGCTCCAACACCACCAACATCACTACCCCTGCAACTGCCCTTGCAACAGCAACTACTGCAGCAGCAGCAGCAGCAACTGCAACAGCAGCAGCAACTGCAACAGCAACAACTGCAACAGCAACATCTGCAACAACAACAACAACAACAACAACCCCAGCAGCTAACCATACGACCGCCTATGCCTTCTACTACAATTGCCTATCAGCTACTCCCGCAAGGCTACGTCCATCAGCCACACATAATGAATTCCGGTTACGAAAGCGAAGAACGCGCACGAAACTTTCATATGCTCTAAATAATGATAATAACATAGTTAATAGTTTTACTGTTAGAAGTAACATTTGCATACACTACATATTAAGCTGTTAGACATATATATATATATATAAAATAAAGTAAAACTACTTTGATAACATTTTTATTGTTTAATATTACATAACAAAGTCATTACATAAACAATCATATCATAATGAGACTTCGAAAGACCTAACTGATATATTATATATGTACCTTTAATGATGTTATATCTTAATTATTAGTTGGACATGGGATGAGCTGAGCAGTTTTAACTAGTCTGTTTGTTTTGATATGCAGAGCCGCTAAATATTTGATTAAAAAGTGTATATCAACCATTGGAAACGTCGCTAGACCCCACATATACATTCTCAATTATCGTTTAAATATTGCTTCCCCTAAAATTAAATTAGGGCATAGCAAAAAACGTTGTAATTCTGATTTTCTTTGCATTTATATTTGTAAGCTAACCTGCATGCATGACTCACTTCATTATGTCCATTTCCTTTTCTTTTTTTTATTCTTTTCCGTAGGCGTTATCGACGCCGACACAGATGCCGACCAGCCGATGGGTGATTCGAGTAAGACACCAAGTGAAGAAGAGATCGATCAAGCTAGCGATTTGCGATCACAAGCAGCCGCCGCTTATTCGGAGCAGAAATTCGATGAGGCCATCGCATTGTACACCAAGGCCATCGAGCTGAATCCCGGCAATGCTTTGTTCCACGCCAAACGTGGTCAGGCATTCCTCAAACTAAAGAAACCCAATGCTTGCATACGTGATTGTGATAAGGCATTGGAGTTGAATTGTGATTCAGCTGCAGCCTATAAATTCCGTGGCCGTGCCCATCGTTTATTGGGCGATTGGGAAAAGGCAGCTAATGATTTGCGACAAGCTTGTAAGTTGGACTTTGATGAAGAAGCCGATGAATGGTTGCGTGAGGTGACGCCTAATGCCAAGAAACTCGAACAACATCGTATTAAACAGGAGCGTAAGCGCGCTGAACGTGAAACTAAGAAGGCACAACGACGTGCACGCGCACATGCCAAAGAGCGCAGCAAGCAGCAGCAGCAGCAGCAACAACAACAGCAACCACAAGGTCCACCAAAGGGCTTCAATCCGGAATTTTTATCGGCGCTGAATGATAAGGAGTTCCAGGAAATACTAACTGATATCGCTAAGAATCCAGCAAATATAGAGAAACACAGGAACAATCCCAAATTCGCTAAGTTGCAGAGCATGGCCAAGCAATTGGGCATGGATAATGTATTTAATATGTTTGGCGGCTTGGGCGGCGCAGCAGGTGCTTTCGGCGCTGGCGCTGGCGCAGGTGCTGGTGCTGGTGCATCGCCACAAGCTGATGCTCCCAAGTCGGAACCTAAAAAGCCCGAATTCGTCGATGATGGTTTAGATTAAAGAAACGAGAGCCAGCTACTTGTTTCTCCTTCAACTACTTAGTGCGCTGTGTGCGCATTTTTCTAAATTATCATCATAAATATTATATTTATAAACATATAAGTTTTGGCATGGCAAAAGGCGTTAATTGTAGGAACGGACTTTCAATGAATCAGTAAAATCTAATTTTGAGTAAAACGCAATATATCTTTGGCGCTGTGAAGATTTGCGCTGAGAACAAAAAAAAAAAAAAAAAAAGAAAAAAAAAAACGAAATAAATAAAACAAGTCGTAACTGTTAAGCATTCAAATAATAAAATAATTATTAAATCGCTTTAATCCTACATATGGAATTGTCTTAAAAATGTTGAACTTTATAAATTTGCTTTCATTATTTTTTCACTCTGCACGATTTGATTCATTAAAAAATATATATCACACTCATTTTTAATTTGCTTATATTTCATATTTCTTCGCGTTTCGTTTTCCTTTTCAATGCCAGAAAAAGTGCATTATATTGAATTAATATCACAGCTACATACATACAAATAAATATGAATTAATATGTGTAAACAATAAAATCAACGAAAAAGTTAACCACTAGTGGCCATGTTTACATACATACATACATACATAAATAGATATTTATTGTTTACTTAAGCAGCTAACAATAGTAGGAACCGGAGAGTTTTCCTTTTGAAGCATTCAAACATACATAAATATAATATTTATACAGACAATGTACGCAAATATGATGCACTCACTGCAAGGTAAAAGGTCTTACTTAATTGAATTGATTGAAATTAATAATTACTACTTACATTTAAAATAATAATAATAATAATAATAATAAAGGAAGTCAAGCATTTAAAAATCAGGTGTTTCATTGAAACTTATTTTTAAGTCGTAATCGCCATTTTGTGGTAACTTGTAGTAAAAAAATAAATTTGAAAAAAAAAAAAAAAAATCAAATTCCCCCATTCCATTCTACGCCCCGGAGTTTAACCGGATTTTATACGACAAAGTATTTTCGGAAATAACCCATTTTTAGACCAGCAGGTAGAGTTAGTATACACTCGTACATATATGTATGTGTGTCAACGGTGTAACGCCTTGTAGTGGGATTGCACTGGGAATCTTTCTGCTGGGTATATGCTATATGTGTATACACGGTGTGTCCCAAAAATAGCCGAACTTTATATAAATATAAATCATACAACATACAGCGCCATCTATTGAAAATTTGCAATATTAAAAAGATACATTCCTCCTCTTTCAAACGCACCTGACAGATGTAAAAGTGACAGCCATTTCAATAAAACCAAAAGTGTGCTAAAGGTTCAAAAATAAAATGGAACAAAGAGCAAATATAAAATTTTTTGTCAAACTTGAAAAAAAATTAATGGAAAAAGTTTATTGTGATGATTGTATGAGTCGTACGCTAGTTTATACGTGGTTTACACGATTTAAAAATGGTCGTGAGGATTTAAATGACGAGCAAAACGTCCAGAAACTAGTAATCGTGCTGAATTGGTGGAAAAAGTCCGTGAAATCATTGGTATCAATGCAAATTTTACTACGAGAATATTGGCTGAGGAATTGAATACGAGTAAAAACACTATTTGGAGAATTTTAACTGAAGATTTGGGGAAAAGAAAGGTCTGTGCGCAATTTGTTCCACATGAATTAAATGACGACCAAAAAATCGCTCGAATTTTTAATGAAAAAAGGGATTTCTCTCATCGACCATCCTCCGTAATCGCCTGATCTATCACCATGTGACTATTTTTTATTTCCAAAACTGAAAACCAATATGAAGGGAACATTTTATGATGATATCCCAGCCATTCGAGCAGCCGTAACCGAGGTACTGAAGAACATTTCTATAAATGACATAAAAAAATCTATGCAGGCGCTGGTTGATATTTTGAATAAATAATAACTTTCAAAGATAATATAATGTGTATTTTATTTTATATCCAAAAAGTTCAGTTATTTTTGGGACACACCGTGTATACATACATATGTATAGGTATAAAATAGACGCTTTGTAACCGCTAAAGCGTCTTGATATTTTCCAAACAAAAAATGGAGAAACCTACAGATTATACTAAGTTGCCTCTGAACTGAGCCTTTATTTCATGTCAGAAATACTGTTTGGCGGGGCTTAAATTCTCTGCCGAGGGGTGACCGTAATTGGAAAATTTAGCTTAATTTTTTATTTATATATTTATATGCTATAGACCATCAATATTTCACCACGCTTTTAAGCAATTTGTGCAATGTTTGGAGTCATCTTAAGACCTGCTGATAAGACATTAAATAGCCACACGCTGCACCGTTTTAAGCCTCTACGACTGGGCTACCTGTCATATGTCACCAAGAAATGGCTCTTTTTCTCCCACGTACCTCTCCCTTTCCCTGCTAAATCTACGGAGGAACGCACTTCCGTACTCTGCATATGACCTCGAGTATTACAAAGCCCTTTGAATGTTGGTCGGAACACGCTGGAACACTTGTTTTTCAAATGCCAGCACGCAATGCTATCCACTCGGCTATTATGGCCTTGCCTCATGGAAATCTGTACCGTTTGATGTTCTCAATAATGACTGGAGTTGCACCACATACTCTCCTGCTTACTTCACATTGATACCCAAAACTATCTCCTCACACATAATAGCATTTGCTTTAGGCTAACGAGAACTTCATGAAAACCCATTGGAGTTGTGGGAGAAGCGAGACGAATTTCCGCCATGAAAGTTCATTGCCTCTGATTGGGGGATGTTTGGGTGCACACAGAGAAAGAGGCGAACTCATGTGGCGGGAGACAATTTCCTTCACAAATACAACAATAATACATAAATATGTATATCTGTAAGCCATCTAAATACATATATAGATACATACATATTTATATACATATGGACGCAATACACAATGAATCACAAATTCTTCTTCTTATTCGCGTATTGAACCTCTCCTTCACATACCTATGTATGTATGTAAGTGTGCTTACTCATTTAATAACAGTTTTATGATTGAATTATTCATACAAATTGCTTAAATTTAAAAACTATTAAACAAATTTGCATAAATTGTAAGTGTAATTCATTATTACAAAAAAAAAAGAAGAGTGAAACCCTGAGAACTCTATAAATGACATAATTTTTTTGTTATTTTGCAACACCTACATTTTCCCTTCGGTTTATTCGGAGGACTCCTGTGGTGAGTAGAGTCAATGAATTGAGCTGTATAAGCAACGAAATTCTTTCAAATGGGCACTGTGGGGCATAATCATGAAGACTCGAGTGAGAATCGAATATTAGTTTTGGGCTCGATTCCTTGTCAAACTAATGCCCAAATTATAGAAATGTGCCTGGAATGTTAAGATCTCCAACACAAAATGAAATGCTAGCCATTCGGAGGTGTACCTGTATCATTGTAAAATCATCCAGACGCACAAGAAAGACTCCGTATATGCACCATCGTAATGCACTTATGAACACCGCCACACCTTCACGGAGCTGTGCTCAGCGATTTCAAGGTTTAATGCCGGACTCCACATTCATTCCATCCACATCGAACGGCCAAGCTCCTCTTCCAATTAGTGCTTTTGCGAGTTGATATTTTACCAATAAATGGAGAGACCTACAGTTTGTACTAAGCCGCCTCCGAACGGCTGATGGTTTTTTCCTTACGAGGAGACTTTATTTCATGTCACTCGGAGGTGTTAACATTCCCTGCCGAGCGGCGACCGCAATTAGAAATAAAATAAATTAATTTCCCATAACTTTTTGGATGTCACACCGCGATTTGAGCCCGAGCCTTCCGATTGGCAGTACGCAGTACTAACCACTCGGCTACTGCGGCCGTCTTCGTTTACAAATATAAATAAAACTAGCGCCCACAAAGCTGTAACCGATTTAATCTTGCAATTTTAGCTGTGTATATCCGGGGTAGTGTCGAATTGGATTTCTAGTTTAAAGAGAGATCGGCGGTGATGCATAGATGAATTTTGAAAATATTATATTGCGTGATTATTATCCGACAGGTCTGGGTTTAAAACTGCGAAAAAGCTTTATTAAATACTTTAGTCCGAGAATGATGACCTCTTCTTCCACTTAACTGGAATTGCGCCCATCCACTTTTTGGAAACTTTGTGAAAATATCTTGGTGTGCGCGTTTACAAAATCCAACTTGTGCCGGAATTAAAATTGAAGAGCCATCAAGCGTGTCGCACGATGACGGTATGGTCAACGATCCTGATTTTCGCAAGCAAATTTTATTTAACGATGTAGCTCACTGTTGATTATTAACGTACCCAATAAACGAAATTACGGCAATTAGAATGATGACAATCCACAAGCCATGGCAGAGATGCCGTGACATTCTCAAAAAGTCACTGTTTGGTGTGCTCAATGGGCAGTAAATGGGGAACGCTATAGAGCCATGATTGATGGCTTTTCGTACCTTATTTGAAGAATATTGATGTGGACGACCTTTGGCACCAACCAGACGACGCTACATGCCATTCAGACAACGAAACCATGCCTTTATTGAAGGAATCTTTTAGTGAGTTCATTGTCTCGCGTCGTTGGCGTAGAGCGTGGCCTTAAGGATCGTGAGATTTCACACCGCTGTACTACCTTTTGTGGGATTATGTGCAGTCGCATGTCTAGGTTAACCCCAAACGATTGACACCTGGAAAGGGGATATTCGGTGCGTTATTACTGCAAAAAGTGGTGGGCCTCTCCGCTGGGCCAGCCTCATCATAAGTCATCTATACAACATAATGGCTAACTCTCATCTTTAAAATAAATCTAAATTCTTGGCCATAACATGAAACAGTATGCGTCTTATTTCTTCTTAAAAAGCACTTGTCTAAAAAAAAACCGTTTACAAGAGTGTACAATGACGTATATTGATGTTATCAACAACACCGCCCTTAACAACCGCCGCGCCGTCAGTTCCGCTTTCTCTAGGCTGGATTAAGAGATGACGAAATATCTACTGCCAACACACGGACAGTCAGCGCATCACGTCATTGTTGATAGCCACATATTTGTGGTTGGACATGATTTCATATATCTTAGAATGAGAATCACGCTTGCCAACGGAAACTTGTTTGGATTGAGTAGATAATTGAAAAGTAAAGTCCTCTCTAGAGGAACAAAAACCAAACTCTATTACTCGCTCATCAGAAGTAGTGTGAACAATGTCGCCATTCGACGAGTCATCCTTTGGAGTCTGCAAGAGAAAGGTTTTGCCCCAGATTTATGGTTCTTTGCGCATTGGCAGCGATGAGTGCCGCAGACGATGGAGCGGTGAGCGGTACGAGTTATACGGTGACATTAACATAGTTCAACAAATGAAAAGACAGTGTCCAAGCGGGCGAGCTCTCTGCTGTTGTACAGATGTATTAAAACACTGCAGCTTTAAAAGTATTAAGTAGAAGAAGACCTCTAATCCGTTGGACGATCAGGTAGAGATGGTTTGGCTTCACTTAATACGTCCAATTGGTGTCGAACAGCGAAAGGAAAAACGAATGATGTGCTATACGCGTTGATTCGGCTATAAACGTGTAAGCGATGTCTACTTCAATAAAGAAGAAGAAGAAGAAGAAGAAGTAGAAGGATATTTACATATAATCAAGATTAGTACAAAGTTTTAACGAAGTTTTTAAAAAACTTTGGATATATTATTGTACAACAAGAGTGGTCAGGCGTTTGTAAGTATTCATGAGTTAATATTTGTGTATGTAGTATATATACATATGAGTATATATGCATTTACTTGCTCGAAAATTTGCCTTTTTATTAAAAAAATTATTCATTTTATTTAAATTTTAATATCCATATATACATATCGGCATATTGATCTATGTATTTTTGAAACTGGTCACCCTACTTTACTTTATCACATCACAGTAATCACACCTTTAAGTTGAATGTCCATGTTCGGTTGCATTACCTAAGCGATTATATTAAATTTGTTTACAACTTTGTTGTATCTGTGCACGCAGACATATGTATGTACATACATGCATGCATACCTGTACGCTGTTATGACTACGTACCGCATACATTAAAGGTAAGCGTCGCTGTCGCTGTCGCTGTCGACGTTAATGCTGACTTTGTTGCTTCCGTTGCGTACAAGAGGGTAAACATATTTATTTGTTTGTAACATACATAGCTGTACATAAATACAATGTAAATACGTGTATGTATGGATGTACATAACTGCGTGCTGACTTTTTAGTCACCCGCAGTCAACTTGTTGGAATCACATGACGTCATCGTTTTAGCAAAACAAAAAGCCAGACGAACGGGCTGAACGGGTATGGTTGGCACGACTGCTGGCCCACACCACCATAAAACATCGAGTGCTGAAAGCGAAATTTTCTACATTTCAGTTTTGTGTTTAACGTACGCGTATAAAGACGTAGTAAAGAAAGAAAAGCTCCTCAAACGATCGTAAGTGAAGATTTTGTAAATAAAATGTATTTAAAGTGAATAGGAATAAGAAAAATATTCGAGCTTACCAAAAAAAAGACAATTAAAAAAAAAAATAAAAATAAAAATAAAAAAAATAAAGATAAAAAACATTTAAATAAAAAATATTTAAATTAAAAATAATGATATTAAGAATTTGAAAAATAATTATAATAAACTTAAAGAAAAACAACTAAAAACTAGTAAAAAAAAGAATTAAAACAATTAAAAAATAGAAAACAGAAGATACTGTAAAAGTACAAAAGTTTATTTTAATTATTTTTAATTTTTTTATTGAAAAAATATATATACATATACAATATGTATACATAAGCACATTTTTTGAAATTAATATTGCAATTAATTTCTATTAAAAAGTATTCTAATTAAAAAATATATGTACATTAATAATTAATTAGTATTTAAATGTAAAAATCAAAAATAATATTTTTAAATATACATACATATTTCCATATACTTTTCTGGCCACACTAATGACTTTAAGTGATTTTTGCGCACATTTTCGAAAAATCAAGAATTTCAAATTTGAAAATTTTCAGCGATTGACTTTTGATTTTATTTCTGGTGTTTTTCTGTTTTTGCTCTTTCTTTTTTTATTTTTGTTTTTAATTTCTGTCCGCCAAATGTTTCAAATCACTTGGCCATTACTCGTCTCGCTCGCCATTGTCCTCGCCCCTTTGCCATCTGCGCTGGTGGCAGGCAGTAGTCACCTTGGGTGTGGGCGTTGTGCATATGTATGTGTGTGTTTTCTTCTTTTTCAAATTTATTTACCCAAATATCTCCGAAAATATTATGGATTGAGTGAGTGTGTGCGTGTGGCTGATTAACTCATATACTAGCTGGTCAGAACATATGTATATGTATGTATGCATATACATATATATATGTACAAACAAATAATGTATCTGCGGGGTGGTTGTATGTGACCAACCAGCTGCGCGTAGAAACACTCCATAGTGTCCAATGAACTCATTTATGTATATTTTTTATATACATATGTATATACTTACATATTTGTGTATATATGTATGCTCGAACAATTAAAGCGATTTTCCAATTATTTAGCACTCTTCCTCCATATGGCATGGTGGGTGCGCCTTTAGAGCCACTTGATTGTAATAAAATGAGTTTCGTTCTGTTTTTTTTTATTACAACAAAAGAAAAAACAAAATAAACTCTTATATATATATCATTTTCTAGTGTTCTTCATACATATATATAATATATATAGTCCAATAAAACACTTACTACATGCATACATACAGTATTTGTATGTACATATATACGTACATACGAAATATGAAATGAGAATATTTTGGATATACTTGCTTTTGTGGTCTTCAAAATTCTATTTTCATTTTATATTTGTTTTGCTGTGCTTTTCTCCACCTTTTTTTTCAAATTTTATGGGAATATATGTATATGTGTATGTATGTTTGCTTATACTTTTGTTGACTTTGCAAAGTACATATGTACATATCTATGTATGTACAAATGAAGCAAAAAAGATTTACGTGCTAAGATGATCTCATTCCTTTTTTCCGTGCTTGAATTTGCATCTGAACTTGTAAATTTTGATTTTGTGTTTTTCAAGAATCTCATGTTCAACTCTTAATACTACATAGCCTGTTCGGTCCGAGGCATATAGAAATTCTATCCGCCAGTTGTTATTTAAGTGCATTTTGAAAACTCCCAATTCATATGATTCCAATTCGTTGAGCGAGCCTTTCAAAATCTACTATATCTCGTGACCATGAGTAAAGCTTAAGTCAGGAGTGTTTAAAGGGCGAAGCTGGTCTAGAATTAAAAAAAAAAATTGTTGTCTTAAAAGTTGTTTTAGGTCCTTAGAAATAGCATACCAAAAGGTGGATCCCTGCAAAAATTTTTAAATACACAAATTTTTCATTCGGCGGCAGTGCCTCGAAGGTATGCCCCGAGCGCGATTTAACTATAAACGCGCATTTCTCGAAAGCACTTCCTATTTAAACTGTCCGAAGTTTTAACTCCAGCAAATCTTCGCCGATTCTGACGAAATTTTAACGTCCAGAGGCGTACGTAGGATTTTTTTTTATATTACATAATTTTTTTAATCACCAATTTTATGTCGTCTTTTATAGTGAAAATTGTAAGTTTTTGCTCAGACGTGCACCATTTGTAGAAAAGGAGAGTAAACGTCTGTTGCTGTTGTTTTATAAAAAAAAAATTGAAAAATCAAATTTTTTGATGCAGGAGAAAAATTGAGGAGTTTACGACTTTAGAAAAAAGGTGTCTTCGGAGAAATGCTGGACACCGACCATTATGAAGTTAGAGGGTTCAAGAATTTACATGCAATAAGGCATGACTAAAATCCAATAGTTCCCGAGACAGTCGGGTCTTTATACTGGAACGACCCGTATTTTTATTCGGCCAAGGACGGTCACTCTCGCAACATTCCCTAAAAAGTACTTTGGGGGATATTTTTGCGGTTATAACAACAAAAGCAAATAAATTCTCACGAAAAATGTTGTATTTGTACCGTGAAATCTTCCTATTATTAAAACTATTTCTCAGATTTTCGATTGATTTCTTTGTTGAGCTTCCCCCCCCCCCCCCCCTTGAACCAGTTGATCGAATAGTTCAAGGATATAGTACGAAATGATTTTAAAGAGGCAACTATTAACGCTCGAAACTCTGCAAAATACAAGGTTTCATACATACAGAAACCGATTAATGGAGCATTACTCCGGGAACCGCTTGCTGAGTGCCTCGGAGAAATATGACAGCCAAACTAGAGTTAAGCATTTTCATCGAATAATTTCAAGCAGTACATTTAACAGGAATTTTAAAATTTTCTCAGGAATTTTTTTTTGTTAAAATTTAAGAATCCTTGAGATTTTAAAGAAATTCTAACTAGTAAAATTGAAAATATTTTTTATTCGGCAGCACGAAAATTTCAAATAAACATTCGAAAAGTTGAGCAATGAACGAGCTTCCAGCGAGAATTTAGCTGTTCACACACGGCGCTCTCATTAATATTGGCTTAAATATTGAGCAGAGTTGCCTATGAGATGTTTTTTTTTTTTTCAAAAAAGTTTTATTAAAAACTTTCCAATTATTACTGCCTCACTTTTTTATACAAATAAAAATGGAAATGAAAAACTCGAAATAAATAAGTATATGATGCATATGTATATATATATATTCACGTGGTATAAATTAGAAAAAATATTTGCATATTCGAATTTCAGCTTTGTTATGACTAATTGTTTGTGTACTGAATTATTTCATTAAGCGCCTCATTATTTGCATTTTACTACTTAACAATAAAAGAAAGAAATGTTTATTGTTAAAATTATGAGAGTCTGTGCTGATTTTGGAAATCACGTAAAATAAATTATATATGTATGTACAATATATAAAAATTTATGTATATTTACTAGAAAAAAATGTGTTTGAAGGAAAAATGTTCTTAAATTTCTAGAATGTACAGTACATACGTTCATATGTATGTATTATATACTAAATGTCTCTTTGTATCAAACAAAAATTTTCTATTAACAGGTCTATTCTGTCAAGGTAACAAAATTTACCATTCAGTAAATAAAAAATATATAAAAATTTATGTATATTTACTAGAAAAAAGTATGGTTGAAGGAAAAATGTTCTTAAATTTCTAGAATGTACAGTACATACGTTCATATGTATGTCTTATATACTAAATGTCGCTTTATATCAAAGAAAAATTTTCTACTAACAGGTATATTCTGCCAAGGTAACAAAATTTTTCTAGGTATTAAAATTTACCATTCAGTAAATTTTGTTACCATTTCGTATTCTGAGCTCACTGTTACCCTGTAAATTTTGTTACCAGCGAAATAGGAGGTAACAAAAATATCTGCTGTTTGATTTTGTGTTGTAAGTTTGAGAAAAAATAAAAAACTAAAATGGGTAGGCTATTTTAGGCCTGGCGTATTTTAAGAAGTTTTCGAGACAAAAAATAGCCCTTTAATTTGTAAGATATCGTTTTCATTCAGCTTTTTTTGTTGTCCAGGCATATTTTCCATAATTAGATTTAAATATTTATGATTTGATAAACAAATTAATAAAACTTTTTAATTTTTTTTGTGCACTGTCTTCCATTTCGTTGGGAATATTTTTCTTTTTACTTTATCAACTGGCAAATGTAATTTGACATGGACGAAAAAAGCAGTGCTGCCAAATTTTTTTCAAACATTGTAACCAGCTCGCGAGAATACCAAATTTAATTTCGGGTGTTAAAGAAAAGTGACAAAATTTTCTTTACCGGTAACAGTGAGAATAGGCCTGTAAATATTAAAAGGTGTTTTTTTTTTACTGAGCCACGTTCGCTGACGCATAATGCCAGTAAAATTCACAGCGAGCGCACAATTTTGACGTTGTGTTACGAGCTAATTCTTACTGACATTCCTCAGAGAACGTAATGTATTTACGTTCTCTGCTGCATTCCTCACCAAACAGAGCTAAAGCCAAAAATAATTTAATTGTAAATTAAAAATCTGAACTTGTGGAACCGCAATATTATTTTAATCACATATATGTATGTATGTATAATATAGAAAATAAATATGTAAGTAAAAACAGGCCTCAAATGATCTCCAAAAAAAGTAATATCACCAAAGAGGCCGGATCTACTTTTAAGTCGCCGTTAATTGGTTGGCATTAGCGTTAACCGTTATGTCAGCTGAGCACAAAAATGCACCCAAATTTATTTATATACAATTATAGTTATTTTCAAAAAGTAACGTAAGCAGCGAAATACTTGGAATGTCTATCAGTATTTTTTTTTTTTTTTTCAAAAAAAAAAAATATATTTTGTTTGTCGCCGTACACGGATGCCACACCTTAATCGCGTGCGGCCTAGACAAATGCAAAACAGTTATACCAGTTGCATTATAATTGCATTATTGTTGTGTTTATTGTTTAACGCACTTTCGCTTTTCATT